ACATTCACTTTCACTACATTTTGATCGCTAATTCCTGAGATCATCATTAGTAGCCCAGAAGTAAAAAAAAAAAAGAGCAAGAATTGGTACTTACAGCTTTTCAAGAGCATGTAGTCCAATAAAAGTGCCATTCTTCAGGGTTGTTATTTTGTTATTGCTCAAAAGTCTGGAGAAAGAGAAAGATGATATTTAGTTTGTGTCACCCATATAGGCAGGGCTTAAAGGGGCAGGACAGGTGTGTGGTCCTCACTGAGGGATTCATTAGTTCTGGAACAGATTAACTATGGCTAAACGTTCACCCAGAACCCCAAATCCTCTTTTTGTAGCCTGCAGAACCCTTTCAAGCACAATTCCCCCAAATCACCAAATTCTAAAACAGGTCATGTTCACAGTTTAGAAGACAAAGAATAGCCTAAATTGTATCCTTCCCCCCAGAAAAAAAAAGGGGGGGGGAATCCCATAATGTAATTATTATTATTATGTGTATGACATGGCCCCATGCCTTTTGCATAATAGCCCCAGTTGCTACCCTCACCCTTTCCCACATGTTAATAGTGGCCTGAAATGTTGCTCATTTCTGCATTAGTCAGACCCACATGTTTTTGGGTGGTTGTGGATGGTTTAGAGGAAAGACAGCAGGGACTGATGAAATCATGATTAGCTGTCACTTCTTTGCAGTACGATTTGCTTAGTGCTTCTCAGACATTATGGGGCTTGCTTTCACATCAGCTCCATGGGTAATAGTAACATTTACAAATGGGGAACTGAGGCCAAGCGTCAATGCATTTCCCATGGCTGAAGGAAACAGGAGAAAGGCCTTATCTAAACTGAACCAGCTGGTCCACGGGATTTTTTTATTTATTTCATCTCTCCCTTTCTCCACATCCATTATTATATCCTGCGCCATCAGCGGCCGGGAATGTTTGTGGTGTGGCTGAGTGATGCGGTTATACTTTTATCACTGCTATTCCTAGCAGAATGTCATAAGCTTGCAAAGCCAAACAAAATGGAAGTAAGAAAGGCGTAACCTAATAAATGGAATAATAAACATTGCAAAACAAAAAGATGTAAACTAAAAAGTACAGAACTGGAAAGAAAAACAAACCAAAGTCGAAAACAAAACTGAACGAAGAAAAAGAAACTCTGAAGCCTATCCACATATGAATGGGTTTGTGTGTGTAGACGCAAATGTACACACACACACACTTAAATGCACATATGTATGACCTTAAAGAAACATGCAAACCGTTAGATATCCATATTCAATATTTCTGTCTAAAATGACATTCGTGCAGAGAGGGGTAATGTATCAGGAAAAACATCTCTGCATTTGAGGAATCCAGATGATATCTGAACAGTCAGTTCTGCACAACTTATAGTTTTTAAGGCTTTTGTTTGTTTGTTTACCCTGATCCAATTGTCGTAAGCAAGAGTTCAGAGAGAACAATAGATAATTCTAGGCTGGCTTAAGTGTGTGTTTTCAAGGGCTGGTTGGCCAGTCCAGTAACAGCTTGGAGACACACCAAAATGCTAACGAGAATACATTTTGTCAAAACAGGAACAAAAGTTCAGTTGTGGGCCCTGTTGGAGGGTCCTCTCCAACAGGACCCACAACTGGAAGTCTCGGAACCAAGTCAAGTGCAAGGTGTATCTTTTCTCCATAGATTTGTGTATTCCCCTCCCGAAGATGTAGCTTGCTCCTAGGGGAATGCTCTCTCTCTATCTCCCTTTTGTGATGCTCATTTTCAGCATGTACAAACTGAAGCTGGCAGCCTCTGGATTAGGACCTCCCACACAGCTCCCTGCAAAACCCATATTCAGCCCCATTTACCACGAGACCTGGTCCATCCCATTGGGCTCCTTCATTGTACGGGAGCACAGTTCAAGTACTCCCTAGTTAAGTCAGGGTTTTGACGGCACTAAGGAAGCTTGTTCTCAAAGTAAACAGTTTGGAAGACCACAAAAACAGCCTTCTTTTGACCTCAGCTCAAAGCAAGCAGAAAACCTGCCAACTGAAAGGAGCCAGGAAAAAAAAATAAAAAAAAATAAAAGGAGCACCCATCAATTCTTCCAGCTCTCATTAAAAAGCTTTTTTAATGAGCAATTAGCCCTGGCAGGCACGTCTTGTGCTAAGAGGGCCACCAAACAGCTGCAAAGCTTTTGATGGCTTGACCTCACCATCCACTTCAGATTCTTCCCTTCATGGAAACTCTAATTGAATGGGCCTAGTAGCAGCCGTGTTTACCAAACAACTGCCTGCAACAACTGCACACAAATCTTTCAGTTTCCTGAAGGTTTTCTTCCCTGTGCAACAATAGAAGCTTCGTTCTATTTTCCTGCCCTTCCCGCCAAACGCTTGAGAATTTCTTTCAAATTTCTCACTGTGATGTTTCGGAATTGACTTCCTCACTTGGCAATGATAAAGTCAAAACGACATTTGAAAGTACTTGTCAAGGCAGCAGTGATGAAGTCTGCAGGGAGTTTATTTTTCTCAGGTGCACATTTCTCCATCAATGCCCGGCTTTCTAGCTGCCCACCTTTATGCTACTACTGTTTTTAAATGCTTCTCCTGATTGTTGAAATTAACTTCATGTATAAGCATCGTACTAGGCTGTGAGATGTTTTTGAGATTTTTTAAAAAACGCATTTAGGTTTGTTTTTAATTATGGGTGTAGCCTGCCTGGAAAGGTTTTGTCTTGAAATGTTGCAGAAAACAATTTAAATGTGAAATATATATAAAATACACAAACACACACACCTATGCATATGCCTACAGACACACATATACATATAATCATCATTATCAGCCCAATCCAAACCACTGCAGGAGGAAGGCGTCTTCACCTGCTTTCCAACAGCTTTGATACGTTGCAAACTGTTTCCGGTTAACACAGTTCAAACATCTGTCCAAGGTCTGGTATCCAATCAAAGACTGTTGTTATCCAGTCTTTATCTGTTCATTCTGCACAATATGGCCACTGCAGATTTCCATGAGACTTTTCACTTCGTTATGTGACATACTCCTGTCTGTTGGTGGAAGCATACTGGAATATTTCTTTTCTTGTCATGTTCTCTCGAGCATTTGCCATTCCATGGTTCTTCTCGTAACGTTCAGCTTCTGCACTGTTTTTCTCTCGAACGTCCAAATTTTGCAACCGTATCTCAGCACAGACAGTACACACTGATTAAACAATTGCTTTTTTAAGCAGGTGGGCATCCTGCTTTTTGGCTGCAGCATGAAACCATCCAAATGTTCACCAACCTAGTTTAATCTAGCTCAACATTTCTTTTATGATATCACCCTTCTTTCTAATCTTTTGACTGAGGTAGGTGCAGCTGTTGACCCTCTCTGGTTCATGATTTTGCAAGACAACTCTTTATGCGTGTGTGTTTTCTCCTAACACAACTTTACCTTGGCTGGGAATCCCGAGAGAAGAAGTGTGCACATCTGGAGAATGCCCCAGTTGAAGAAAGGTGAACCAAGAAGTACAAACCCCAGTATTAACACCATATCCCTTGGAGTTTAATACTCCTTTTTTGACTTACATCTGGAAAGAACAGGGACTAGGTTGTTTTCCTGATTTGTTTATTGCTCCCACCTTCTCTCAAAAATGTTCTCTCTTTTACCTCACTTCTCCTTTTTCTACACGCATCTCACAACTCTTTTCTACCATTTAAACATTGGGGTGGGAGGTCAGAGTCATACCATGATAGGCATAACAGTGGTAAGCCTCAGAAACACAAAATACTGTGCAATTGCAGAATATTTCTTGATAGGGAAGGAGAAATATGGCATGGGGGCACAACTTTTACTGCCAGAGGCCTACACTTGACTTTGAGATAGACATCCTCCAAAACACGAGCTAGACAAGAACAAAGAATTCAGTGTGATTATACAAAACATGTCAGCAATAATCAACTTGAATTACGTGAATTGCAGGTAATAAAATTATGCCCTGTGTATTTAATAATGTCACTCTTCTGTTGCGATAGAAATTACAAGCATTTGAGGAAAATGATCTCATATTCGTCTCCCCCAAAGCATATATTCCTCGAAACCACAGGTCAATTTAATACTTTCCTCTTACCCATGGATAATGACTGAAAAATCAGCCACCAGAGAATGAATATGCTGTTAGTATTTTTTTACATTTTTATTTATTATTCGATGTTTACCCTACTTCTATTTTTGATCAAATCAAGGTGGCATACCTACCTAATGCTCCCACCACCTATTTTTCCCACAATGACAGCCCTGTGAGGTGGTTTGGCCTGAGAGAGAGTGACCAGCCCAAAACCACCAAGCTGATTTCCATGCCTAAGGGAGGATTCAAGTTCACAGTCTCCCAGTTTCTAGCTCAGCATCTTAGCCACTATACCATACTGGCTCTTAGTACATACAAATCATTGAAGTAATAGTCCACTGTTTTATTAATACTACTGTTTATTTATTTATTTATGAATTTGTTTTATAACTTGCCTTTCATTTAGGAGCTTAAGATGGCATAGAGAGTGTTCCTTCCTCCTACTCCCCCCGCCCAACTCTGTAAGGTAGGTTTCACAGAGAGACTATGACTGGCCCAATGGCTAAGTGGGGGGGGGGATTAAAATGTGGGTCTCTCTGCTCCTAGTCCAGCACCTTAACCACTACAGCAACCAGTACGACTGTTCACATTCCATATAAAGTTTGCAACTATTATATTATGCCATGATATCATTTGTCTTTTAATTTAAACATTTTATGTTCTGTTCTTCAGCCGAAAATCACCCAGCTGAAATAGATAACTATTTGAGGGAAGAATGAGTAATATTTGCTTTTTTCTCAGATATTGAAGAAGATCCCAACTTAGATGATACATACAGCTATCTATTGCGTGTCCCAGACCTCAAATGAGTAACGGTTCTGCATTTATGTACAGAAAAATTCAGTATCTGGCACAGGCTTTAGAAGCTGCCACTGAAGGCAGATTGGACCATCCCTTATGGAGTGTGGTAATGTTGACCTTTGAGATAGATGTCCTCCAAAACATGAGCTAGACGAGAACAAAGAATTCAGATTTAGATACGAACTCTCTGATAACCCATTTCGATGGCTTCTTGGGCTGCATAAAGCTGAACACAACTTCACAGCTTAAGGGGTGGTCCTGGGGCAGCTGGCAGAAGAAGGC